GTTTTTGGTTGCTCTGGTGGATGCAGATTTGTGGCTATAGATGAGATCTTTCCTAGAGCACTGTCTTAGCTGAATAGTTTGTATTTGCTCCTCAGTATATTAAGGCCATTCATTCTTGCCTGCCAGACAGCCGTAAGCAGGAACTTAGCATATATTTTATCTGTGAAAAATCCACAAAAATTCACTGCAATACCCCAAGGGAATCAGGGGCTTCAGGGTTGACGCTGTCCCATGTGTGAGGGTCTTGCTGTCCCCAGGCTTATTGCGCTGGTGGAGGAAAGAGCAATCCATGGGCCTTTCTCTCTTGTAATTAATATTTTCTCTAGGTAATTAAGAAGTCTCAAACCTCAACAAGTGCAAGGAGGAAAACAGCCCTGCCTGACCCACTCCTGCTTGCCCTGCCGACCACAGCTCTGCAGGCAGCACGTGGTGGTGACTCCCAGAAGAAACGGCCTCAGGGCTGACCTGGTGGGAGAAAGGACTCGGGGCAGGGCCACCCCCTCCCAAGGCCAAAATAAAGGACTTTGCCACCAGCAGTGAGCCCCACGCCAACGGGAGCTCCAGGGAGAGCTGCTGGAGCTGTTGCAAGTCCCCTCTCCTGCCCAGTCCTCCAAAATCCCCTCTGGTTCTCACGTCCTCGATGGGTTATTGCAGCATCCAGCTCTGGAACAGCACGCAGCAGGGAAGGGCAACTGCGGATCCGGTGGGCTGCTGCGGCTCCCCCAAAATCAACGGCAACATTTCCACTGGTGGCAGCTGAAGCAGGTTTGAGTTACAACAACAAGCCACTGACAGCAGGGCCAAGGCTGGCATCAGCAAAGCTGTGGGCTGGCATTGGCACTAATGAGCAACAGCAAGGGAGTTTGGTACCCACCACCGAACGCTCCAGCCCCCGCCAGCCCTGCCTCTGCCTCATTGCACACAAACATCTGACCCTGAACTTTCAACTTCACAAATTTTCAAAACAAGAAGCTAGATGTGATGAAATACTTCCCTGCAGAAAGCAGTTAGAGACAGTAAATAAGCCGCTGGGCTAGTGTAGGCGCAGCACTGCCCAGCAGGGATTTCCCCCGTGGAGGAGGTGGACGCGCAGGACCTGCCCCGTGGGCTCCAGGCGCAACGCCGGTGGCTCACGCGTGGAAGCGGCACAGGGCAAAGCCTCGCTCCCCGCTGCCTTCTGCCTGCGAGACGGGAGGGTGGCGCGGAGCGAAAGCAGAGGCAACGAGAGCCGCGATGAGCAGAAGTGAGGGTGGGAGTATGGAGGGGCTCTGAGGCGTGACAATCCCTTAGCAAATAACGAGGCTTGGAAATTAGTCCTACTTAATAAAAATATGTGACTAAATTAACTATGCCTGCTGGTTAAATCTGTTCAGTATTTCTCTGTTGCACCATTAAGCAAACTCTGGCAAGGCAGCTTACCTCTCGAGCACATAATATGGCACTATCTACAATTATGGCACTATCCACAATGGACAACATTTTCTATTTTGTCAGGCCCTTCTCTTGCTGAGGAACAACACCTCGCAGGACAGCAAAGCAATTTCCAGCAGCTCTACCAGCCCCCCCGCCCAGGGAAAGCATCGCAGCCCAATTCGGCACCAGGGACGACGTCCCCGATGTGCTGCACAAGCTGCTCCTGCCCAAGCAGGGACTGCCGGAGCATCCTCCGCTCCTCAGGGCCTCCCTTCCCATTTCTGTTCCTGGAGTCCTCCCTGGCACCCCCAGGGAGGCGAAAAAACAAGTTAACTGCAGGGACTAAGCTCCTTCCATCCATGCTGGCCGGTCCCTTCTGCTCGCCCCGCGCAGGCTGCCCCGGGTCTCGCCTCTGCCATGCGCTTCTTTAGGTTTAACTCCGTACCTGTGCTTTCCCCGTGACTCTCCTTGCTGGTCCCGCAGGCTGGAAACCACTCAGAGCTCTCCTTCCCCGAGTCTCCCACTCAAGCGTCATTTGCCCCATTTTCCTGGGTTTAGTTTCTCACATGAAAACCTGGGCTCTGGGTGAAGTGGCACGACGGCAAAGAGCCAGCTTTCAACATCCCTTTTCTCCTCAAAACAGATTCATCACTTAACTATGTATGCTCCATATCTATATTTGGTGATGTCAACTCAAGCAACGGTACCCTTGTGGTAACACCTTTTCACGGGCATTGATTTCTCAGCGATATTCGAGTCTATCAGCCTTCAGCATACACACGTTTTAGCATCAGTACAACTTCACCTCTAAAATAACCATAATGGGTATCAACGTGCCTTTTTCCTTCCCGTATTTAAAAAAAACCCTTCCAACACTAACGAGATGACACTTCACAGCACAGTGTAACACTTCACAATGTTTATTACCCTCCTTTCTAAGTAACAAACCTCAGCATCGGTATGGTAAAAGCCAGTTTTTTGGCTACCGCCCAACCCTTTCCTGCTCACCAGCGCTTCGCAAGGTGTTCACCTTCCAAACCCAAACCCTTCCCTTACTGATTTCTACATGAGCCCGCTGAAACAGGTGTGATACCCACCAGAGAACTTTATAAAAATCTCATCCTTAGCCTCTTCTGCAAAATGGAAATGGGAGCACATCTCTGCTTCATGAAGGGTTTATGAAGGCTGTGACTCTGGAGGCAGAGCGGCAGTACCTCACACTGTTATCCTTTCAAGCAGATGTAATTATGCTAATCAAGGCTTGTCTGATGCTGAATTTTACAATCTAGAAGTGGAAAGTTCCCAGGATTAGTCTTTAGTGGTTAAAATTTAGTGGGAGCTGAAGGAGACTCTAGAGAAGACAAGAAGAACCACTCTAGGGTCAGTTTTTCCCTAATAAATATGATTTTTGAGGCTGAAAAGGGGTGTTTTGGGAGCTGCTTCGCATGCTGCTCAGCTGCCCTGGCTGGGAGCTGGGCAGCGCCTGTCCAAAGGGTGCAATGGGACACTCAAGGTGGTACTGAGTCCTCTTGGTCCGTCTCTGTGGTCTCATCCGCTCCGAACCCCCATCTGAACGTGGAGAGCCCATCTCGAAAGCAAAGCCAATCCCATGCTGGTCCCCAGCACATCACCATTTCAGCCTCCTCTCCCCATGCCCAGTCTCCTCTGAAGACCTCCCTCGGAAGGCAAGGAGAGGAACTGGACGTTGCTCTGGGCGGGGTTCCCCAAATGCTGCTGGCCATAAAAAAATATTTCTTAAAGATTAATGCGCATCTCTTGCCAAGAAGATGAGTCTTTCCAAGGAAAAACTTTTTTTAAAGATATGCTTATTGGAAAGCAACATGCTGCTGCGATGGTTTGCTGGCTGAAGGGACTCCTCTCTTCTCCTCCCAGCTATTTTAACCCCTGGCTCCAGATAATTTTGGCTACTTAATTTTCCCTAAACAGAACAACACAGAACATTTTCTACAGAAACCTCATGACAAAGCTTCCTAGTTGCTGTAGAGGCAGAAAGGTTCTTGGATTAATCATCAGAACAGCAAGGAATTAAGAAACCTGGGGAGATAAATGCACCAGGGTTTTGTTAAATAGATACTTAAAAAAAAATAATCCAGACCTACTTTATTTCAAGCCCCTCAGAAGCTGAGAGAATTTGGTGCATCTGGCTGCAGCTGCCACTTCACTTCTGTAATTTAATCTCATTGAGGTGCATGATGTCAAATAATTACCTTAATGAAGACTCTAATGGGAGAAGAGAGGAAAATAATAGAGATACTTTGAAGAAACGAAGCTGCAAATTTGCTTTGTTTTTAACCTGGCACTGATTTGGCTCCCCCTCCTCTGGCTCTTGCCCTTACAGAGGTGTCTGATCTACCTCTCTTTCAAAACTAACGTTTCAGATGCTGCCCCAGTGATGGAGTTTCGCATCTTGGATACAATACCATAGTTTCTGAGTTTGAAACAACCCAACAGATAAAACCAGCTCTTGGTTCAGGCAAGTCCAGCCCTCCAAGTCCTGCTATTTCCCTGTTCCCTGCAGAGCGCTGACACAAAGGTCAAGTTCCTGTCTACCACTGTTGAAGTTCTCCAGGACGCTGGTGTAGATTAGAATCATGGAATCATTTCAGTTGGAAAAGACCTTTAAGATCATCGAGTCCAACCATTAACCCAGCACTGCCAAGGCCACCACTAAACCATGTCCCCAAGCACCACATCTCCAGGGCCTGACTGCACTTTCCGTGAAGAAGTTTTTCCTAACATCCAACCTAAACCTGCCCTGGCGCAGCTTGAGGCCATTCCCTCTCATCTTATCACTTGTTATTTGGGAAAAGAGACCAACACCCAAACTGAACTTTATTGGCTGCTCTCATCCTCTTCTGAGGCCCTTCAGCTATTTTATTTATATTTTATTTTGAAAAGCCCTTGTGAATTGATTTAATAAAGGCCTCACGTGTTGATTTCCACCATCACCCATGCCCAGGACGTGCATCCCATGATCATATTGGTCCTGAATTTATTTCAGTGGGCTGAAATGACACTTTCTTACATGAATGAACTATCTTCTAAAGGCTAATATTTACCCAGTCTACCCAGGTTTCTGTGTATGAAACCTGAAAGAAAAAAATCCCGGAAAATTAGATTAGTCAAATGAGTTTCCTTTCTTGTTGCCTAAAGGGATAACTTGAGAAAGAAAGGAAGCATGAAGTTCTAGCATGGATGTGGTGGGGGAGGTCAGTGAGCTCTTCCCCCACCCGATTTCCACATATTTCCCAGTTAGCCTTGCCTAATGCTGTGCATATCCTCCACATCGCGTGAGCTGTATCTCCCACCATTCCTGGAACAGATGACTCCAGACCTTCTAGATTAAAAAAAAAAGGGGAAGTAAACTTAGCCCATTTTTCTCAAATTAATGCAAAATGTGACATTTCACCTTTCTTTTTTTTTTTGGCAAATATTTTTCCCCAGATTCCAAACGTTTCTCTGACTCCGGAAAATTCAATGCGTCATCCTATTGCAGAATCCTGTGCCTGGCCACTGCCACAGGTCTCAGGCGTTCCCTGTATTTCCAAAATACTCTTAGCTTCTCATCAGTTTTGCTCCTCCTTCTGCTTTCTGGACAGCTTCTTGTAGAGGTAAAGCGCTCGCTCCTCCTCCCAGCTCTCGAAGAAGGACCCTGCGATTTTTCTGCAGAGGCGATGTGCATAAGTTTCCAGGAATACGGTGGCGTAGAGGATGCAGAAGAGCAGCCCCACGACGAGCAGCACAGAGGGGTTGGGAGGCGTCGGGGGGCTGATCCCGCAGCGGGCAGAGTTGAAGGTCAGATAATGGTGGTAGCTTCTGTCAAAGTCCTGAAATGGTAATTCTTCGTGACGAAGCTGTAAAAGTTTCAGAAGAAAGGGCAGGATCCCTATTTTAGCCTGAAGTAAAGAGAGTTAAAAGTTAAATGGGGTACGAACAAACCAAAATCAACTGGTTACTACAGAAACGTCAGCCTGGGGGTGTGCAACCACTGTTACAGCTTGCTTGGGTGCATTAAGAGGAGGACATTGAAGCGCATATACACTGCAGGCTGAGCGAGAGTAACAGCGTGATGCGTAGGCGCCGAGTACTCAACACGGTGAGACCCAGTCCTGTCTGTCACCTCTATCTGCTGTTAGAGATCATCACGGGCATTCGCTGTGTGAGATTTACAATGAAAGGCATAATACAGACAGCAGTATTAGTGGCTGCATATTTGAATATTAGAGGGTTTTTTCTAAGCCCTGATTATTTTACTGTAAATCAATCATAAGCAGGTATCTGCGCTAAGGAAGCGCGGGGCTGGGGAGGGAGGCAGGCTGCCTGGTAGAAGAGGAAAGCTAAAAAATATACCAGAATTAGTCCAGATAAAGGATATTAAAATAGATAGAAACCGAGGGGGCTTGTGAAAAGGATTGCACAGGGTGACAACAAAGCCAGCGAGCAGGGCTTTCTCCTTAAAGAAGGGCAGTGCAATAAGATGAGGAGACGTGCGTTTGTCTGCTTCCCCCTTCCTTGTGCGCTTTGCCCGTTCCTCCACCCTGCCTAGGGAAGGGACCTGGAGGCGCGGGCATGTCTGACTGCCACGTGCTAGCAGCGTCTTTGCAGCACGAGGCACTATTTACTCCTCTCCTCGCTCCCAAGGGGCTGTAATTTGGAGCAGGTACATGCTGCTATTTGAGGCACTGGAAGGAGCAACTGAGGTTGTGCCTCCACCTCCTGCCTCGCAAGCCTGTTACGCTGCCCGTCCAGCTGGCTGCCGGGGAGGGAAGGAGGGATTGTGTAAATAAGGGCTCAAAGACTGCAATCCCCACCGCCGCCTCCCACGGTGCAATACGCAGTGGGGTCCCCACGCGGGGAAGGAGAGGGGACCCCAGCGCTTACGCTGTATTTGATGCTGAGAGCGACGGGCACCACGGAGAACTGAGCTGCCTTTCTCACCGCCGTGTCTGCCACGCTGAAGGCAAAGTGGTCCATTGCCACGACCACCAGCATCAGCATCAGGGCCACGGTGAGGAGCATGGCTTGCACGAGGCACAGCATCACTTCTTCCCGGGACAGCTTCAAGCCTGTCGGTCGAAGGAGGTTTTTGGATGAGCCCACCAGCAGATGAGCTGCTTTTCTGTCCACAGCTAAACGCTCCAGCTTCTTGGTGATATAAAAATTGTCAAAGCGGAGGTTGGTGAGATAATTTTTCAAATACCAGGTGGACTCAAAACAGAGATAGAGCATGGAGAAGCCAGCAACCAATTTGTTGCCTACTCGTACAGAGTCTTTGACCAGCACCTCAACAGCCAGAAAGTCCTTCCCAATTTTCTCACCAGCAAGCTGCATTTGTTGGTAAATCAAGGAGCTGTTCTTAAGCAATGAAAACTGAAAATGTCCATTCATAGGCCTATAAATATTAACGGAATGAACGGTTTCTTGGATTGCATCCCCAAACTCCCAGGAAGCCGTCTCTAGCAGAGCAGTTGAGTTCAAAAGACTCTCAGCGGAATTCTTGCAGATGCACTTAATAACCTGCAGTATGGTTTTAATGTTGCTTAGGATGTTGGGCATTACGTTAACCACTACTATCATGACGCAGGTTGACAAGAGAAGCTTCCGGCCTTGCTTGGTACCTAACGTAGGCATGATCATACTGAAGACACAACGGGCAGGATGCACCACGAAAAGGGCCAGGAGAAGGAGCAGACTGAAGGAGACGGCCATTGCAACGGAGAGATGCCAGGAGTACTCCAGCGAAGCAAACATCCAGTTGTAAAAGAGGCCTCCTATCACTGCCGTAGCGCAGGAACACTGCAGAAACAAGGTCCACAGCTCCCTGCCGTTTGCTGGGACAGGCTTGGAGTAAACCAACCATAGGTCTGCCGCGGTCCTGTGCACCTTTGGGAACAGAAAGTCTTCACAGTAGACACGGGCTCTCATCCTGTGCAAGGAACAAATACCTGGGTGTTAGCAGAGGAAGTACAGAAATGCGCTAATTAGAGGGCTTTCTCGAGATGATCACTCGCAGGTCTCTATAACGTCCTTCTCCGAGTGCCTCCACTCTTCTCTACCTCTCTGCTAACCGGAGTAGCTGGGACAGAGATCTTCCCTGGAAGCACACAGGACAGGGATGTTCAAGGCATTTCTTGAAAGATCAAATACCAAGTACAGTGCGACTGCTCTTCCTCTAATACAAGCGCAGAAAAGCATTGCATTATTCTATAAAAATCATAATAAAGGCCTTCAGAGGGGTCAACTCCTTAGCAGCGGCTAAGAGTGGCTTTAGTGGTTATTTAGAGGATGCTGGAGGGAGAAAGAGGAGGCTCCTGGCTGCTGTGGAAATCCCTAGACCAGCTCTGTAATTACAAGGTGTTCAATGGATAAGAGGCAGCTGAGTGGGAGTTTCTGATCTCCCTGCCTCCTAAGAGGAGACCAGACAAAAATCTTCAGGTTCAAGAGTGACAAATACAGAACTGATCAGAGAAAACAGTTGCACACTGAAGCTCCTGTGCCAGAGGAAATCTCCAAGGATAAGAATTTGGCCACTGCAGACAAAATGAAATGTCCCATAAAGCTATTTAAATGTCTAATGAAAACAAACATGTGGGAAGGAATATAATTTCTCAGGCCTCACATCTGGAGTGACTCTCCAGAGACCAGAAAACCTGGTGGGGAGAAGGAGCTTCTCCCCAGGACTAAACCCTGCCAGGCGATCCCTGTCTCCCCCAGCCCGACAGCAGCCTCAGTTATCCTTTGAGAGAGAATTTTGACCAGCAAAGGAGGTTTTTCCAGTGGAAAAAGGCCATTCAGCAGCTACCAAGACAGAGGGAAGGAGAGGGATTAAAGCAGACACTACGTACCCAGCGGCAGAGAGGTGCCCCAGTCTTGCTTGAAAACTCTCCATGCTCCAGTGCCTCGGAGAGCTCCTGGATGCAGCTGCTGGGAGAGCCAGGGTAGGAAACCAAGGCAGCCGGCACCAGAGAGCCAGGACTCAAAAGAAAACAGACATTTTAAGGCAATTCAGATCAGCAACACTGGTAATTCCTGAAGCGAGCGGGCAAACCTGGTGCGTGAAGCACAGGGAATAACCCCACTACAGGACAGAGCCGGGATGCGCAGCGCTGCTTGGGCTTTACGCTTCTGACCTTCCTGTTAGAGCAGAGAAGGCTTATTTTCATGACACATAGCTGAAAAAACATGAGTCAGTGACATATGGGCTGACGAAGATGGAACAAGCACCACGTGGAAGATGGGGTGTCACCATCCCTTGTGGGGAAATCGTCTGTCTCATCCCAGCTGACTTCTCCTTCCACTGCCCACCAGCGAGCAGCAAGGTTGGGATCTCTCTCCGAGAGAAGGGGAGCTTTTCCTCTTTCAGATATCAGTCATGGCACAAAGGGCATGGCAGGATCCAGCAAACCACATGCTGATAATTGTTCGTCTTTTCTGGCAGGCTGCTGCTCCCTGCTGAAACCATGAGCTTGTGCGCAGGGTACACAAACTGCTTAAAGGCTCATCTCATAGTCCTAGCAGGGGAAGATGAAGCTTCAAGCTTGAACCCTTCCCATTTTCCTACAGCCAGCAAATCCATTGCAAAGAAAGCCCTGCCACAGGCAGGATTCCCAAAGCGCTGAGAAGCTCCCAGGTGTACAAGCCAGGACGCGTGGCCCCCATGGGACCGACTCACCTGACCCCTGGGATGTGCAGGGCACAGAGCTCCAGCCACCAAACCCACTCACCGGGAGATGAGGACCAGCCCGTGGTGTTTGCTCCTCAGCGGTTTCCGAAGAGGATTCCTCCTCCTCCGATCGGCTGGCACACAAGAATCGCATACCACCGCTGCCTACCCCCTTGCACTGAGCTCATGGGTTACAGGAGCCTTCCCTGGCTCCCACCAAACCTGCCGCGAGTTGAGCCGAGCCCTTCCGCCGGGTGGGAACCTCCAGGCCCCCAGGATGTTCTCATGCTCCCCCGGGCGGGTGAGGGCAAAGGGCTGGAGGTCAGCCCTGTCCCGGCCTCTCCCGGGGACGGAGCTCTCCGGCAAGCGGTGGGAGAGCAGCACCTTCCCCAGGGGACATGGCCAGAGCCCACGGCAGCGGCAGTCGTTGGAGAACAAGCAATCACGAGCACAAGCGGGCAGAGCAAACCTCTGCCTGCTTCCTCAGCCCTTCCCACAGCTACCAGGCGAGGTCCTTTCCACCCTCGCTGCTCCACTCGACAATTCTGCTTTTTTCCTAGAGTTTTGCTTTTTCCCAAGTGGCTGGGAGAGCAAAGGTTTGCTCCTGGAGCCCTGGAGCAGACACCGAATGAGAAACGCTGACTGGCTCCAGCTGGGAAGAGGCACCAGCCAGGCGGGCAAGAAGGAAAGCACCATTTGCTTGGAGCATCCCTAGCAATTGCTCTCACAATTCAATTGGCAGACTATAAAGGACCACCCCAAAAGGCCCACAGCTGTATTCTGCAAAATTCATCAGGTTCTCCTTAGTCGTTATTCTGAGATTAAATATCTTTCGTGCTGTATTTCTGAGCTAACTGATTTCATCTGCCCCCAGGACCCCATCCAGGCTAAGCAGGTAGCTCTCTGGGCCGCAAAAAAAATGTTAGCAATAAAGAACAAAAAAAACCTGAAGTCCACAACATAGCGATGAGTGTTTTCTGAACCTGCTGCATCACCTGGCAAAGGGGAGCTGGTCTGGGGGGAGCTGTGCTTCACCAGTAACTCCAGGCAGGACCAAGGAGTGTTTGCATGCAAAGCCAAACCTGGATTTTTCCTTTGGCTCAACTCAAAATTGATCTCTGCAGGCTGGACTATCCTAAATCCAGGACATAATGAACAAGCTTGCTTTGCCAAAAATAAAATCAATTAAAAGTGTGTGTGTGTTTATGCAGATACACAAAGAACGGTGGGCGAAGGCTGGGGAGCAGGACACGGGCAGGACCGTGCATCTCAGCAAAGCAACTGTGACATCTTGCGGTCAGATTCTGCTAAAGTACCTCCAGGTCTGTGCTCATTTCAGCTCAGAAACTCAAGTTTGTGGGTGGGAGAGTTTTAAGGAAAACCGAGGAAGCGAAGGAGAAAGGGGAGGCTGGCGAGGCGGTGGTGGGGATGCGAACGCTGGGTCCCCTCGGGACGCTCCGAGGTGCCTTCTCCCACCCTCTGTCACTGGGGATCCTGGCGCCCAGCTCCCAGGTCACGTAAAGGGGCTTTGCTTTCTTGACACGTTCCAGTCTCTATAGAGCTCAAGCTCTAAAATTTTCTAACATCCCTGATTTAGACTTTTTAGCACTACTGTAGGAGACAGAGACCCACATCCCTGGAACCAGCTTGCTGTAACTGTAGGAAGACAACAGAGGGCTTCATTGGTATCACAGCCAGAAAGCATAGCCTGGCTTTGATCAGGGACAGGGACTGAGCTCGTACCCACCAGGACACAGATTTTTAAATCCCTTTCTGCTTCGCAGCCTGCAGCACTCACAGCGGGTCTCAGGGCAGCCCGAGCAAGAGTCTCTTGCCAGGACGTCTGCAAGGTCAACCTGTAGGGACAGGGTAACCGGGGGGGTGATGGTGATGGGAGGGGGTGCAACGCAGAGGGGCAGCGTGTCACAGGCAGAGCGTGGGGTGCATGAACTACACAGCTTAAGAAAATGACAGGGTAAAGAAGATGAATGGAGGGCTAAACCCAGGATGATTTACGGCTGAAGATATTTCTCCATGGCAATACCATCAGGACCTCTTGATCACGTTATTCTGCCAAGTCAAGAAACTGAGGGTGTGGGAAAGATTAGCCCATTAGTGGTGATTCTTTGTTTGTTAAAATCACATGCAAATGAACAACTTAGGGTGATACAGAGCCAGGTCATGTCTTAGGTTCTTTAACTATAGAAATATAGAAAAATCCCAGCAATATCCTTTCACTGACTGATGGGGGATAAATGTGATGAGGGAACCAAGGCTATCTAACCTGCAATAGCTGAATTTCCCCCATCGTGCCAGGCTTTCATTCCTCCTAGGAATCTTTCCCTTCCTCTCCTGAACTTCCAGCATTGTTGCCGGGTGCAAATCATAGAATGGAATCATAGAATAGAATCATAGAATCATTAAGGTTGGAAAAGACCCTTAAGATCATCAAGTCCAACCATTAACCTATCACTGCCAAGTCCACCACTAAACCATGTCCTCGAGCACCACGTCTGCCCATCTTTTAAATCCCTCCAGGGATGGGGCCTCAGCCCCTGCCCTGGGCAGCCTGGGCCAGGGCCTGACAGCCCTTTCCATGAAGAAGTTTTCCCTAATACCCAACCCAAACCTGCCCTGGCGCAGCTTGAGGCCGGTCCCTCTCGTCCCATCGCTTGTTCCTGGGGAGAAGAGACCGACCCCCCCGGCTCCAGCCTCCTTTCAGGCAGTTGCAGAGAGCGATGAGGGCTCCCCTCAGCCTCCTCCTCTCCAGGCTGAGCCCCCCCAGCTCCCCCAGCCGCTCCTCCCCAGCCTTGGGCTCCAGCCCCTGCCCCAGCCTCGCTGCCCTGCTCTGGCCACGCTCCAGCCCCTCCATGGCCGCCTTGGGGTGCGGGGCCCAGCGCTGAGCACAGGATTCGAGGGGCGGCCTCACCAGTGCCCAGCGCAGGGGGACGATCCCTGCCCTGGTCCTGCTGGCCACACTGTTCCTGATCCAAGCCAGGATGCCATTGGCCCTCTTGGCCACCTGGGCACACTGCTGGCTTATGTTCAGCGGCTGTAGACCAGCACCCCCAGGCCCTTTCCCACTGGGCAGCTCCCAGCCGCTCCTCCCCACGCCTGCAGCGGTGCCTGGGGTTGTTGTGCCCCCAGTGCAGGACCCGGCATCAGCTGAGCCCAGCCCCAGAATCACTCGTCCCTGCAAAGACCAGTACAGCAGCTCCTCTGTGCGAACAGTTTGTAAAGCAACTCGAATGCTCCTGGGATA